GTGGGCTCGCGTTCCCTGCCTGTGATGAAGCCTGCGTTGGTAGGGACATCTGAGACTATTGATGAACGCCAACGGCTCTGATGGCGGCGCGTGCCGAGTCACCCGAGTGGGATTTTGTTAATCTCGGCCAGGGCCTCCTTCGGCCTTTTGCTCAGGAAAGCCGGCAGTTGGGGTAGTCCACGTGCTTCTCTGAATGGCTGCGTTCCGCAGTGCACCATTATTTACTTAAGTGGTTTCCAGCTTTAACTTTTTGCACTGCTCCTTTTGTAAACTATTAAGTGCGCTCTTTGTAGTCGTGAAATTATGGGTGGTGTAAACGATCTGTGGTATAGGTGATAGGAAAAGAAATATGCTTAGGCTGTAGGACAAATGATTAATTTCAAAGTTGGTTTGGGAAGAGCGAGCAAGCGGGGGGGGGGGGGGGGGGGGGGGGGGCAGAGGAGAAAAGAAGTAACCAGACTTAGCACTGTCAGCGCAGAGCCCAACGCAGGGCTCTAAGCATAAACGGTGAGATATGACCTGAGCAGAAATCAAGAGTTGGATGCTCAAGGACTGAGCCACCCGGGGGCCCCAGAACAAAATGGTTATTTTTAAGAATCCTAATCTTTTCCCTAGAAATGGTGCTGGGCACGAATGCAAAGTGGCTTTTGATGGCTTCTGATGGGCAGGTAAGAAACGGGTTAATACAGTGGAAAGGAATCAGATCTCCTTAGAGGTGGGGTCTTTTGTTAAGCCTGTGATGGTTTAAGAGTAGTGGACAGAAGGGATTTCTGAAAAATCCTATTCTGAGGCTTAACCGTACCTAAAACCTTGATAGTTACTTTGGCTGCACAGTATGTTTAATCGGATGCTCTTTGTTTTCTAGTTCTGTGCCAAAGGGGTGAAAACGGCTGCGAAGGTAAGTTACTGAAATTCCCTCACCAAGGGAAGTTAGGTTGAAAGTCCACTAAATGTGCTACAATGATGACGTTATATTTGCTACTCTTGACTGTGAGAATGACGAGAGTTACTACCACCATTACACTTAACTGAGGCACACAAAAGGTGATTTAGAGAACTTGGAGATTGACACTACTTTTACATGAAGCTGTTTCTTCCTAGGTCCTAAAGTTCAAGTTGCACATGCTACCCATGGGCAAACAGGTGAGGAACCTTTTAGATAGTCCGTGTTTACCCAGTCCTTTTCAATTCTTTTTTTACATCTGAATGCCTACACTCTGGTATTCTGTATGAAATGCTTACAACCTGAAACAGATACTATGATGGTTGCATAGTTCAGCAGATTGGATCATGAAGAGATAGCTATCTATCTGATGTATCGAAGTTGATAGGAAAATTGGTTTGCTGTTAATAGCATAAGCAAAATGTCATTAACCTAGTTTCCTTCCTTCCTTTTTTGTAGGCGCTAAAGGGAATTGGCTGGAAATTGAGGAGGTGAGCAGAATTGTAATGGAGCTAAATGTTGGTAACAGGGCAAACATCACAGTACAGCTAATGGCTGTTCAGAGTGCCTTATGCACAGAAAGCACTCCTACCACCAAGTGCTTGAATGCGTTGCTGAATGCAGTAAATACATGCCAGACCCTTGTCCTGTTACCATTGGTTAGGACACTCATGATTTGTAAAAAGCAGCCTGGATGATGATAAGCAAATACTGACTGAACATGAAGGTCTTAATTAGCTCTACCTGATTTCAGGCATTTTTGACGTTGTGGGGAGAAAATTCATCTTTTGTCTCTTGTGAAACTGTCTTTATTTCTTAGGTGGACTTGAGTCTCAGTCATGTTTGGAGCAACGATTTATTTTGGTAAGTATTAAGCATTTTAGTAAGCTCAAAACTTAACTGAGTGCTGATGAAATAGAATGCTTAACTACCAAGTTAACTAGTTTACTGTGGCTACTTAGTGGGTGCATGTTGAGCATGCTGTGAATGGGGTTTTTGAAATGATGTTGACCAAATGTCTGACCTGAAGTGAGCATGTAGACAAATTTAACACTGAAGAACCCTGTGACAAATAACTCTGAGAAGAATTCGGTGATAATTAACATTTTAACGAAGTGTCTTGTTTTTTTCTAGGTTACTGGCCACTATCCTGGATGGCTTGCTTGGGGTAAGACAAAACAGTTCTTTGGTTGCTGAAATGTGCTATAATGTGTTAAGTGTGTCCTGGTGTTTCAAGGAAGATTCAGCCATTGTGAAGTGCATTTAAATTTTTTTTTTTTTTTTTGGTCAGGTGCTGATTTTGAAGAACTTTTTATATAAAGGTATGTATTCTCTAAACCTTTTTTGGTTAACAAGCAAGATACTGTTAGTGATGATTTTTGAAATTAAAAACAGATGGGAATCTCTCTGAAAAAGAGTGAAGATTTCTTAAACGCTGAAACAGTATTTGGAAAAGTTGAGAAATCCACTTGTTACTACCTGTTAACTAAATTTGACGAAATTTTCTGCAGGTGTGAAGAGTTAGTGGCTCACGAGGCCCGGAATGAGGAGTTTTAAGCCAAGGTATAGTCGTTTCAAGTTGGGTGTCTATATGAAGTGGTTTAAAGCCGATACAGTGATGAGAACATAGTTCAGCAGACTTGACAGTGATGAGCAACATTGTCTTTCGCTCCTATCTGACGTATCTGGCTGCAGCAACCCTATCCATACTCTTGAAAACGAGCCATTTATTCTACCACAGGAAACGTTCAGGGTTGGGGTAACTAGTGGCTTATATACAAATGTTTTTTTTAGTTTATTTTGAGGGGTGGGGGAGGAGCAGAGAGGGAGACAGAATCCACTCTGTGCAGAGTCCAGTGCAGGGCTCCATCTCCCTGACTTCATGACCTGAGTCGGACATTTAATTAACTGAGCCCACCAGGCACCCTAAATGTTTCAATTTTACGATTTCACATTTTGGGGAGCACAGGTAAAGTTTTTGCCAGGAAATTGTAATTTTTTTTTTAATAAGCTTCATGTTTTAAAGCAGTTTCAATATTGACAACAAAATTGAACGTAGGATCCCATACATCTGGTCTTCACACCTTCCTCAACATTCAGCACTAGAGTGAGACTTTGGCTACAATTATGAACATACAATGAGACCATTATCGTCCAAGTCCACAGCTTACATTAAGGTTCATTCGTGTTACATGTTGTATGGGCTTGGACAATGTGATACATCCACCATTGTCTGTGTGTAGAATAGGTTTGCTGCCCTAAATGTTACTTTTCAGAAAGTTAAAAATGGGGAAAACCAGTACAAATTTTAAATGGCTTTTTTCCCCCCCCAACATATACAAACAGGCAGACTGTCAACCTGAACATTAAGAGGTAAGTTGGTCTGTGGTATATGTGATAAGTTAGCATGTAACCAGTGATGTAATGATTCTGCCAAATGAAACTGAATGATATCACTCATAAAACCGTTCCATTTTTGTTTCTGAGGTTACTAGCAAACATCATGTGGGGTGGTTTTTGTTTTTTTCACCATAATTAACCTGCCATCATTGCTTTAAGGGCATTTGTGAGGGCAGCGATCCAGTTATGAGAGCAGCTTGCTAGTTGAAAGGTGAGACTTTAAAAACCTCAGTACTGTTGTCTTAATCCAGAATACATGATGATCTCACTCCAACTTGAACTCTCTCACTGATCACTTGATGATTATAAAAGATCTGATATTCTGTGTATTCAGAATACAATTAGAATTAAAACATAAAAATGTGTCTAAAAGTTGCTGCTTTGTCCTTCCAGCACCTGGATGGATGCCCACGGGATAGAAGATCAAGCTTTTCAATATCAATAAATTTTTATAAACCATCTGATCAAGAGTGCTGATTTTAATGGGATGAAGGAAGGAAAATTATATCTTTGTAATTAAGACCCTGTGACATTAGCTTAAAACAGTTGACATTGAGATGTATTTTATAGGATACCTTGGGCTTGAAGGTGCAGAAAAATAAACTACAGCCCTTTTCAGGTGTAGAATGCAGAATGGTGGCATGATCTGAAGGATGAACTGTGTATTGTGTAGAAATTTTCTAAGGGGCTGAATGTGAAATCCTGTGCCAAAATGCTTGCTATTAAGCACGATGGTGGTGGGTCTCTGCAAGTGTTGATAGATGGTACAAGGGAAGTAACCTGGTTATCGCCCCCCACCACATATTAAAAGAAAGCTTAAAAATGGGACAAATACTATGGTCACAGCTGTTAAGAAATAGGAGTGCTGACTTTGCAAGTCAGAATCTCACATTGACCACGGATTGCCTATTGTATTCTGTAAATTAGTGAAACTGCTTGGCCTCTGGCAACATAAGAGCCCAGATACTAAAAATCTGATGAAATCACATTAACTTACTACTTGAAGTGTGTGGGGACATTTGTTTGCAATTTAGGACTTTAAACAGGATTTAGGATTTTAACAAGATATTGCAGGGGTGCCTGGGCAGCTCAGTGCCCCATATCTAAGGTTACCTCCCTTGGCCCTTCCCCAACTTGCACATTCTCTTCTCTAAAACACAGAGGATGTTGCAAATCAATTTGGACCAGATGGTCACTCCAAATAAATGTTTGGGTCTGTTGGAGGTGAATTTTTGTGCTTTCAGAGTGAGGAAATTCTGTTAAGCACTTTCCTATAGTCACATTGACATCACTTCAATCTTTTAAATTCCTTCTACAGGAAAGGTTAGATAATCCATGGTTCATTATTGCTTTTTGGTACCAGTGGCCACCCCAGTGTCTCCCAACAGGCTCTGAGAGACCCTCTGAAGCAGGAACCATCACTTGGCTCCAGCTCTCCCCCTTTTTATTCTTACCACCAGTGGTGACCTTTCTTGGCATTACATATTCTTAGTTTCCTCTAGGAGAACGTAAACTCCGTGAAAGGGATTTAAATCTTGTTTGTTGCAGTATTTCCGAGCTTGTCATTCAGGCAGTCAGTGTTAGTAGATGGATTAGGTCTTAGAAATTTAGTGGGTGCCAAAAGATCCTCACAGTGAAATTGGCCTCTTCTATCATAGCCTGTGACTTGGGTGACTACAAGTAGATGAGTTCATGGCTGGTTGAATTCTTCTGAGATGACTAACGCAATCTAAAAAGACATCTCTAGTGTATTAGAAGCCCAATCTCATTTAATAAGCCTGAGTGAGGGAAGAGAAAAATAGCAAGTTTTGAATGTTACTATACGTTAAAGGTGTTTTACTTAATCCTTAGGATGGCAGTAAGTGAGGAATTTCCATTTTGCACATAAACGGCCTTAAAGGATCAAGTTATCAGAGGCCGTACAGTAAGTGGTAGTGCTAAGAACATATAGTAGCATATCTTAACTGACAACGAGTACACTGAGGATAATTATCTTGGACGACTGGAAGGGAGGGCCAAAACCACTACAGGCAGGAATATTAAAAGTCTTGTTGCCTTCTGGTCTGAAAAGTCTTAATACATAATATACTTAGGGTCAGGGGAGAGCTAGCTTGAAAGATTGGGAAAGACGTGGAGGTTAATGGAACACAAAACACCGTGATCTCCAAAAGTGGGGCTGGGCTGATTTAAAAAGATGGGCACCTACCTGGGTGTCTCAGTTGATCTTCTGACTTGATTTTTGCTCAGGTCGTGGTATCCAGCTTTGTGTGGCTCTGTACTGAGTGGATCCTGATTAAGATTCTCCCTCTGCCCCTCTAAACAAAATTGTCACAGCAAAAACCCTAATGTGACCTTAGCCTCTGGCACTGAGTGGGAGTTAGTACTACTCAAATTACAAGGTGCCCTCCAATGGTTGGAACCCATAATCCTATAACCCGTCACAGTGCTTCTACACTGAGGCAGGTGAGGGATGGGTTGTGTAGAGTACTGTACTGTTACTGGTAACTCGAGTTTGAATAACATACCTACATTTATGCTTATATTTGATTTGGTTCCCTGAAAGTTACACCCATTACTAAGAGCCCATGTAAGTTATTAAGTGTAATGGAAATAACCCATTAGTTGGCTCCACCCTACCCGAAAGCAGTTCTAGTTTAGTACATGATGTTTTGCTAACTGCATATCCTGCCAAGCACATGAAGAATGGATCCCCATGCAGTTATGCTCTCAAGCTAGAAAGTTGGGTTCCAGGATTCCAAACTAGTGCTTATTTATCCTTCAAATATCGCAGCTTTTAGGTAGATACACTTTTTTCATCTTTCAAAAAGCTGTACGGTAATTTTTTTTTTAATTTTTTTTTTTTTTTTAACGTTTATTTTTGAGACAGAGACAGAGCATGAACGGGGGAGGGTCAGAGAGAGGGAGACACAGAATCTGAAACAGGCTCCAGGCTCTGAGCTGTCAGCACAGAGCCCGACGCGGGGCTCGAACTCACGGACCGTGAGATCATGACCTGAGCCAAAGTCGGCCACCTAACCGACTGAGCCACCCAGGCGCCCCTTTATGTATTTTAAAGGGATCCTCATGCTCCTGAGCTTGGTTGGAAGTGATAAACTATGCTTCCTTCTTCTCTCTTATTCCTGGCGTAAAGCTATGGAAAGCGTTAGTGTACCGTGCTGCACAGGTGAAAAAGCTGGGACTGGACTTGTGTTCTAGTGACCTAATCATCCCAAGCCATTGTCTGAAAGGTTAATGCTAGCAGAAACAGACCCATAAATACAGAGAACAAACTAATGGTTGTCAGAGTGGAGAGGGAGTGGGGGATGCAGACTTCCAGTTATGGAATGAATAAATAAGTCAGGGATGGAAGGGACAGCATAAGGAATCTAGTCTATGGTGTTGTAATAGCGCTGTGTGGTGATAGATGGTAGCCACGCCTGTGGGGAGCCCACTACAACATACAAAGAAGTTGAATAACTATGTTGTGTAGCACTGTCAATTATACTTCATTAAATTTTTAATAAAAAAAAATTAATGAAAATGAATTAACATGTAAAAAAATTAAAAGGTCAATGCTTGCTAAGAGTTAAGCTACCATAAGCTGCCAGCATGCCCTCCCCTGCCTGTATTAGTCGATCATTTAATTTACTCAAGAGAGGTTTTTTGAACATCTATTATATGCCAAGTAGTGCTGGGAATAGGTATTACAAAGAACAATACAGACAAAAAAATCCCTGCCCTCGTGGAGCTTATATTCTACTGGGGCAAACAAAATAAAATACACAAAATACAGTATATCAGGGAATGTGGTTAATAATATAGTACTACAGAGGAAAAATAAAGCAGGGAAAGGAGGGCAGAGCATGCTGGTGGGCAGCAGGAGCTCATTCAAATATGGTTGTTAGGGAAATATTCACCAAAAAAGGAAGTATTTAGCAAAGGCTTGAGGTATTAGGAACTAAACAGTGCACTTATCTGGAGAAAAACTGCTAGGTGACAGCTGGGGCAAAGTCCTGGACGTGGGCTCATGACTGGGGAACACCAGGAAAAGCAAGGACACCAGTGTGGGTGGTACAGAGGGAGCTCAGGAGGAGATGGTCAGTAGATAGCAGGTGGCAAGTCATGGAGGGCTTTGGAGGCCACTGTAAGGACTCTGGCTTTTCTCTAAGATGGGAAACAACTGGAGGGTTTTGAGCAGAGGAGTGATGGGACCCTTACTGAGACTGCTGAAGGGTAAGGACGCAAGGGTAGGAAGCTTTTGCTGGATCCTTTTTAAAGGATCAGATGCTGGATATATTTTGAAGATAGAGCTGACCTTTGAGACAAAAGTTTCTCCCGATTCGCTTTTTTAAAAGAAGTTTATTTTTAGTAATCTCTACACCCAACATGGGGTTGAACTCATGACCCTGAAATTAAGAGTCGCATGCTCTTCTCATGTACCAGTCAGCCACCCCACCAGATTCACTTTCTTGATCTGACCATAAAACTGAGGACTAGTATGTGTTTTTGTTTTTAATTTTTTTAATGTTTATTTAAAAAAAGTTATTTCTTTTTTAATCTTTATTTTCGAGAGAGAGAGCACGAGTGGGGGAGGAGCAGAAAGAGAGGGAGACACAGAATCTGAAGCAGGCTCTAGGCTCCAAGCTGTCAGCACAGAGCCAGATGTGGGGCTCTAACTCATGAACCGTGAGATGGTGAGCCGAGCCAAAGTCAGATGCTTAACCAACTGAGCCACCCAGGCGCCCCTAACATTTATTTTTGAGAGACAGGAGAAAGAGCACGAGCTGGGGAGGGGCAGAGAGAGGGAGACACAGAATCCGAAGCAGGCTCCAGGCTCTGAGCTGTCATCACAGAGCCCGACATGGGGCTTGAACCCACAAACTGAGATCATGACCTGAGGTGAGGTTGGTGCTTAACCGACCGAGCCAGCCAGGCACCCTGGACTAGTAGTATATGTTTACAAGATGACTTTGAAATGTCTGGGAAAAGGAATGTTACATATAATAAAACCACCTTTATGTGGCACTCACTATAGTCAGGGATATACGTCAAGGACTCAACTAGGTACCTTCATACACAACACTTGAGGAAAGGATCTGTGCCTCTGTGTAACTAAAATGGAGTAAGTTGTTAAAAATTTATTTTACTATTTCCAGGCTCGTGTAATTTTTATGGTAACACAATGTGGCCCTATTCATTTTTAGAGTGTAGATATCAGTTGGCATGGTAGAAAAGACAGGCACCTGATGGCAAAAATAATGTTTCTGATAACGGAAAAAGGTCCCTAAAGAAATGTATTCTAAATGTAATGGAAGTTTTTCATATCTTGCTTTACTTTGGACTTGCTGCCTTTCTTCCAGGCATTAAATCCAAGACTCTGGTATGGTCAAACTCAGCCCTACTACATACAAAACAATTAAGGACAGGTCTTGCAATGAGGCTTCTGCCCTTGACTTTCTTATAATCTCAGGCAAACTGGAATTATAAACCATGGATTCTCGATTCCATCTTTAAATGACTGTGACGGGGGCGCCTGGGTGGCTCAGTTCGTTGAGCGTCCGACTTCAGCTCAGGTCACGATCTCACAGTCCGTGAGTTCGAGCCCCGCGTCGGGCTCTGGGCTGATGGCTCAGAGCCTGGAGCCTGCTTCCGATTCTGTGTCTCCTTCTCTCTCTGCCCCTCCCCCATTCATGCTCTGTCTCTCTCTGTCTCAAAAATAAATAAAAATGTTAAAAAAAAAATTAAAAAAAAATAAATGACTGTGACAGGTCATGACTTAAATGTGTGTGTGTCCCCAGGTATTTGCTATCTTAGTAATTGTTTCCATATATACAAAAGTCTCTGAACTTTCACTGTTTCTACCAATACCTGTTCATCACTCTAGCTTTACCATCCTTCCTGACATCTAGTGAGAAGATGCCCTCACCTTGTCCTTCCTCAGGTACAGGCAGCAGTGTTTGGCTACTCCTGGATCTTTGTTTTTCCATAGAAATTTTACAATCTGCTCTTCAAGACCCATCTACTCCCCCAAAAGAGAAAGGTGTCCTGTTGGGATCTGAATTGGATTTTTTTTTTTTTTTTTGTATATTTAAAAGATTATTCTTTAGAATGTTATAGTAAGATAGATGATAAACTGCATATATGTGAAGTGTGTAATTTGCTGAGTTTTGTGAAAGGATCAACAGGCCTGTGGCTACAGATTTACTGCACTCGTCCTCAGAAGAGGAAAAGAAAAAACGTGAAACGAAATGGCTAGTTCAAAGACCAAATTCCTATATTATGGATGTAAAATGTCCAGGTTGCTCCAAGATTATCACGGTTCTCAGCCATGCTCAGACTGTGGCTCTCTGTGGAGGCCCTTCAGCAGTGTCATGCCAGCCCACAGGAGGAAAGGCCAGACTCACAGAGGGGTGTTCATTTAGAAGAAAGCAACACTAATGATCCACACAACCTCTTGAATTTGTGTTAAGTCACAGAAAGCCTTATTAGTTCAGTAATTCCAGTTAATCTACCAAAATACTGGAATTATGTTTAATTTTGTAAGGTATACAACAGTGATCTATTTTGGTGTCTGTTTTTCAATAAAGTTTTGATTATGGGCAAAAAAATATTTAACAAATCTTAATTGCTACCATAGTGAAAGAGCTCTATAGAGCATTCTGAGGTTCTTAATAACTTTTGAAGATTGTAAGTGGTCCTGAGACCAAAAAAATTGAGGACTGCTGTTCTAGGTTAAGAAGCAGGGGCCTAGAAAGGTTAAATGGCTGGGTAAGGCTGCATAACTAGAGAATGGTAAAGTGGGAATTAAACTCAGGTTTGTCAAACTCACACAGGCTCTTTTTTTTAATTTTTTTTTTTGATGTTTGTTTATTTTTGAGAGAGAGAGAGAGCACAGGCGGGGGAGGGGGAAAAGGAAAAGGGGTGTGGGGGAGACACAGAATCCGAAGCAGGCTCTAGGTTCCCAGCTGTCAACACAGAGCCTGATGTGGGGCTTGAACTCACGGAACTGGGGTGAGATAAATGACCGAAAGTCAAGGTTGAGTTTAACCACCCAGGTGCCCCTCATGCAGGCTCTTTCTAACTAAGTTCACTGTCTTAGGAGTGACTCAGACATGCACTATCGCATGACAACAATTATGTATGCAGTTATTATACAGCTGTGCCATCAGGTATTTTTACTGTGTACCTGGTTATTTCTTGTGTTACAAAGTAACTTGCTTTCCTCAAAATAAGAAAAAAGTATCCTTAAGGCAGTATTTTGAGGAATGGTTTATACTTAAAAAAACAGTAGCAAGAAATGTGATCAGCCATTATAGACTTCTGGTTCTTCGGAGAAGGGAATACTGGACAAGACAGAGCAGCTGTATCGACACACTATTTTATTCAACCAAAGCCCAAGAGCATAAAGTAATACCATCAGACTCGTCATCTGCCAAACCTCTCCCTGATGAGGAGAAATTGTTCATAAGACAAGACTCTCTTGAAGCCAATAATAACCATTGATGTTGTAGCTGGCACTTGCGTATCTTGTTTTTAAAATTGGCACCACAGGATAAATCTAAATTCCCTACGAAGGTGGGGAGGTAAGATTTGAAATACAGCATCCAGTTTACAATCAGATTGTGCATTTTAAAATCCTACTTGTGTTGTTTTCAATCTTATCATTAAGTAGTTCCTTAGTTTTTTGAGAAAAGACTTAATTTAAAATTTTACCCCACCTCAATGATAAAGATCTAAAAGAGTGACATTTCCCTGGATTTCAGAATAAGCATTATGTTTTCTTCTTGAAAGGCAAGACTGAAGAAAAGCTGAGTGATGTCCAAAATGACTAGGTCTCAGATAACAATACAGGATTGTTTGACTTCTGAGGACAGGGGGCCCTTGGTATTTGCAGCCGAGAAAATACTCTCTGGATTTCAGGTGTCTTCTGTAACTCTCATTTCCAGGATAGAAAGACAACATTTTGGTCAGAATTAGGCTTTACACAGTCAATAGTGAGTTTGTTACATTTATCTCATGGGGGATAAATGGATGTGAACTGCACTTTCCCACCTCTTAAAAGGAATTTCTGGAACTTCTCTCCACTGATTTCTCAGTGGAGAAATCAGGGTAGGCAGACTTGGACACCCTTTCTCACCAAGACAGCCCTGCCAACAAGAATTTTCTCTCTCCAGAGCACACTCGCAGATGGGGAGATAGGGTTCAAGGACAAACTTTAGAGAAAAGCTCCACCTAACAGTGAATCACTTTCTGCAGCTGTAAAGAACATTCACACTCTTGATCTACTGGGCATCACAGATTAGGCCTGGAAGTGAAGATGATTTTATTTTCCAAACAGAAACAACCATCGGATTGCACTGTTTTTAGAGCACTAAGAAAAATAGGCAGGGATAGAAGACTGATACTTGATACTTAACTTTTTTTTTTTTTAATGTTGTACTTATTTCTGAGAGAGAGAGAGAGAGACAGAATCCAAGTGAGGGA